TTCCCAAGTCATTTTACCTGCTTACCTGACCTTGTGGAATCATAGGATCCATTGATCGGCTGACTGGAGCATTCTCAGGACGGCTCACCGGATGGGAGAAAAGTTTCTCCTCAGGCCTACTGTGTCCCCTATGGACTCAGAGCTCTGAACAGTCCCTTCTCAAATATAAGATGAGGGCCTGAAACATAAGCCCAGGTATCACAGGCTGGGTACATGTCCTTAGGCTTAAGCCACAATAGTAAAAACTTGGTTAATACAAAACTATGTGGAGCCCTGGGGAACAGGCAGGGCTCTGCACAAACCAGTTGGCAGGAAGAAGGCTGATGTTACAGAAACATTCATACCTATCAGGTACCAAGCACAGACCATAAGCACATGGGGGCGAGGTCGTAACAGAATACTTTGTGAAGAAACATAGTACCAACATACAACCACAGACAAAAGAAACAAACCATCCCATGTCCAGGACAGAGTCTAAATTGACAGTGTGATAGATAGTGACCATTCTCTTGTATACAAGGTAACAGGTGTTATCTTAGGTAATGTCAGAGGGTGGCGATCTGATACATCAAAGGTAACGAGCATACATGTGTTCGCCTAAGTGTCTACATCTGATCTGGTGAATTTATTGCCATCTACAAAAAGCTCTGGCCTTGTGCATTTGATCCTTATCTGGTTTGTGGTGTTTGTTGGGTTCTCTCAGGCCATGTCTACACTACAAGGTTTTTGTGCAAAAATCAGCAGCGCGTTCACACCTCAAGTGCATTTTTGCATAAGTAAATCAACAGGACAGAGGGCTTTTGCCGGTAGAGTTATTCCACTCCTCATGAGAATAATTCCTTTTTGCACTACAGCTCTTGCATAAAAAGGCAGATCTGGATGCTCTGGAGGGGTTTTTGTGCAAGAAAAAGCATTAGAGCCTTCTTGCGCAAGAGTGTCCATACAGTGTGGATGCTCTCTTGCACAAAAGCCCATCACTTTTGCTATGTGCTTTGAGGTCTGGATTCGCTTTTGCGCAAGAAGTTTTTGCACAAGAACTCTTCCATAAAAGGCTTCTTGTGCAAAAATCCTGCAGTGTAGACAAAGCCGAAGTGTCTGCTGTGTTGGCTACTTGCACAGGCCAGCATAACACACAGAGGGACCAACTACAGGGCTGAACAGTCATGATCATTGCAGGAGCGGGAGAGCTATCGTATTGGGGGACACCATATCGGTGAAGCCAGGCTACTGAATCAGTTACCCAGATTAAAGACATTGGCTCTTCTGGGCCAAGTCGAACAACGTTTGAAATACAGATACATAGTCAATGTGCATAACTTTCTAGAGATAAAGGATACGTGCATATGAATACAATAAGCATATTTGGAAAGTCATACTGTTTCCATCTTACATGGCCTGTCTTGCATAAAATGTGGAATAAATACACTATAATCATGTCAGAATATCCCTAAACAGAATTGCAGGTGCAGTGTGAATCAACGGTGAATGGTTATTTCCACCAGTGAAATACCAGGCTGCACTTCTGTGGTTTGCCAGGCCAAAGAGACCCTGAGACCTGCCCAAATTCATTCAGGGCCAGGAAAAGTCCTAGCCCTGGCGTTGGACCAACAACCCCAAAGAGCATTTTAATTTCAACAGCGCTGCCCACCTATCCATGCATATGCTGCTCCATATCTCCAACACCCATTTCTGCACACCCCTGCCTGCACCTACAACCCCCAGCATTGCCCACCAGCCTGAGTACATCCTGACCCTTCCTGTTTCATCTCCCATGCTGGATACTTGTCCAGGTGTAACACCACCCACTGCAAAATTTCCAGCCCTACGACATAGTGGTCCTGTCACCCAGAACACAAATCAGGTGCAAGTGAGAGCTCACAGAAATAACTCCCTAGACTGGGTGAAACTCAGTGTCTGCCTGCACTGGGAAAAGGGGGAGATCGGCCAGAATTATCTTTCTAGGGTCAAAGGGAGCCTCAGCAATGACTCAGCCTGGGCAGGGAAGGAGAGGGAGGGACACAGGGGGAAGGAGAGAAGATGCAGAGACTAAAAGAAGCCAGCATGACTCACTTTCCTCACAAGACTATGTAGCACTTTAAAGACTAACAAGATGGCTGCTACATAGTCCTGTATTTTGGTTCAGCTACACCAGACTAACACGGCTACATTTCTATCACTTTTCCTCATAAGGACACGCAGCTTTCATGTACTGCAGCCTGTCAGACACCAGACAGAGCTTCCTGAGGCTGCTTCTCTGTGCTGGGAATTGCTGACATGGCCACGAGCCTGTGGTGGGGTGGCTCGGGGGCGGGGGGGGGGCCGGCTGGGAGTCAGGGACAAGTCTGCTGCAGTGTTGTCCGTGTTCCATTACAGTCCGAGACGCTGCCCTGTGGCCGGAGGAAATGCTGCGCCTCTTTGGTTGGTACAGGAAGCAGGATACCCGTTCTTTAGTTCACCCCATCTCAGAGCTCCGTGCCATTGTGATGCAGAGATTGTAGTCCTCTCCTTCCCCCCACACCCAACACACACAAACACACACACACACACACACAGTGTATGTGGAGATTGCAGGTCTCCTACCCTGCTCCAACACCTACACAAACACACACACACTGTGTATCCCTGGTAATCTGCCCCCCTCCCCCAAGTGAGATTCCAATACTGCTTGCTTTCCTGCAAGCCAGAATCATGGGATTATTTGTACAGGATTTTGCCTCTCCTCATCCTCTCCAAAACCAGAGACTCAGGGACATGCAGAGAGCAAACCCCCTTCCCTCGCTTGACAATTGTTATTTTATTAATTTTGAACCTTTAAACTGTGAGTTTCATATTTAAGTAATTCCCCCCATCAATTCTACCATGGTCCAAACAAGACAGCCCCCTAACCTGAAACAAATTAAGGTTTCATGCAGCACACCTCCATCATACTCACCCAGGAACCCACCCCTGCAATCAACCCTGGGGCCAACTCTGTCCTCACCTCTGTACAAGCAACATCATCATAGGCTCTAATCACATAAACCACCACGTCAGGGGCTCATACAACTGCACATCCATCAAAATGTGAGCTATGCCATCAAGTGCCAACAAAGTCCCTCTGCCATGTATAGTGGCCAAACCGGACAGTCTCTGCGACAAATGGAAAATGGATACAAGTCAGATATTCGAAATGGTAACACAGAGAAACCTATAGGGGAGCATTTTAACTTGCCCAGGCAGTCACTAATGGATCTCAAAGTGACTATATTATTACAAAGCAAGTTCAAAACCCAGCTGGGGAGACAAGCTGCAGAACTTGGCTTCATTTACAAGTTTCACGCCTGGAATCACTTAGGAAAGTTAGATGTCAGCAAGTCACCAGGTCCTGATGAAATGCATCCCAGAATACTCAAGGAGCTGATAGAGGAGGTATCTGAGCCTTTAGCTATGATCTTTGAAAAATCATGGCAGACAGGGGAGATTCCAGAAGACTGGAAAAGGGCAAATATTGTGCCCATCTATAAAAAGGGGAATAAGAACAACCCAGGAAACTACAGACCGGTCAGTTTAACGTCTGTCCCAGGGAAGATAATGGAGCAGGTAATTAAGGAAATCATATGCAAACACTTGGAAGGTAATAAAGTGATAGGGAATAGCCAGCATGGGTTTATGAAGAACAAGTCATGCCAAACTAATCAGATAGCTTTCTTTGATAGGATAACGAGCCTTGTGGATAAGGGAGAAGCGGTGGATGTCATATACCTAGACTTTAGTAAGGCATTTGATACGGTCTCACATGATATTCTTATTGATAAACTAGGCAAATATAACTTAGATAGGGCCACGATAAGGTGGGTGCATAATTGGCTGGATAACCGTAGTCAGAGAGTTGTTGTTAACGGTGCTAAATCCTGCTGGAAAGGGATAACAA